CTCGCGGCGCGGCCCCCGAGCGGGCTCAGGGGGCGCCGCGGCTCGTAGGGCTCTTCCTGTCCTCCATTCCCGTCGCCTCGTGGCCGCGTCGCTTTGTCGGCTCCCTCGGCCCTCCTACGGTTATTCATCGCGGAATCCCCGTGTTTGGAGGTTATTTTTTTTTTTCTGTAGCCAGCGTGGGGGTTCTACCCCTTTCCTCTCTCTCTGCAACGGAGAGAACGAACGGATTCCTAGTACCCACCGGTCCGTGTTTAGATAAGCTAAATTTTTTAGATTTCGATTTGCATGTCTGGGACTCTCTGACTTTGTGCTCGGTCTGTGCGGTAGGATTTAACCAAAACGAAAAAACAGAAACAAAAAACCCTACCACGGTGGGGGAAATGAAATTAGAAATTTCCGATTGTCATTAGAAAGGGCAAAAATAGCCCTTTCCTTTTGTGAGAGGATAGAGGAGAAAAGATTTGCTTTCTGAGCAGTGTTTAAGATGGAGCTTCCCAAAGCTGCCACGTGCGTGAGCAGAGTGGTGTGGCAGCACACACCAAACGTTGCATACTTACTGAGCGTTTCCTTTGAATCGTGAGCCGAAATATTCGTTAGACTTTGTTTATTTTACGCTAGCACCTGGAGGTCCCCCGAAGGGCAGTGTTTGGAGTCTTGTTGGGGTAGGGCCCGCGCATGTGCGTAGCTAGCGGCCGACCTGAAAGCCTTGGAGTCTGCGCTGCGGGGAAAGGTGAGGAGCAGCGTAGGGTGTTCCCTTGGCATGAAAGCTGGGCTCAAAAGGGCAGAAGTTAAAAGACTTCCCTAAAGTCACAATGTCTGACTGCTGAATGTAAGGAACTAAATGAAAATGAACTAAAAAAATCTCATGCTGCGTTTAGAAAACAGGGTTTTTAATAGGGCGCTCCTGAATCGTTAACATTGTTTTGAAAAGTTTTAATCTAAAGCCCAAGGCTGGGTTGTGTATCTTGCATGTCTGTTTATAGAAGAGATACATTGTGGCATTTGGAAGAATCCATATAAAGTATTTTTCTTTTTTTCGTTATTTCTTCAGTTATCTAGTCAGAGTGAAGTCATCACAAGAGTTATTCAGAGACTATGTGAAAAAAGAAAGAAGAATATCCTTGCATATGGATATTCCTTACTGGATGAAAACAGTTCTCATTTCCGAATCATGCCGTCTTCAAATTTGTGCAGCTACCTGCCTAATACCGCAACAGAAACTCTTCGGATCAGTGGCCTCTGGGAAACATTACTGAGCAGGATAGGGGATGATGTGATGATGTATTTGCTGGAACAATGCGCAATCTTTATGCTGGTTCCCCCTAGTAATTGCTATCAAGTTTGCGGGCAGCCCGTTTATGAACTTATTTCAAATAATGTAGAATCACCTTTGGTGTTCGTTAAACAAAGATATTCAAAGCACAGACATAATGCCTTGCTTGACTATATGCAGAAAAGGCTTATGTTTCATAAAAAACATTTTTCGGAATCTTGCTGGTGGAAATGCAAACGAAAACCTGAAGTCCAACTGTCCGTCAGGAGAAATGAAGTAAATAACAAAAGGCAACGCATGGTGGCTGGTTTGGCATGTTCTGCTAAAGATAACCTTAAAGCAAATAAACAAATCGAAATGATTACCGAACATTTGGAAAATCAGACTAGCCCAGGTTTATCTTCATCAGCTACAGCTCTGCCCTTGAAAAGGAAGCTTAGTAGGGAAAAACTTAAAATCACAGCTAAGAGAGCTAAAGTAGAGGAGAAGGCACTAGAGAAGGAGGCTGGGAATCACAATCCGAACATAAACCAGAGATCGAAAAGATGTGGAACTGGGAATGCAGCATCACTTTCTGAAAGTCTTAAAGAAAAGTACGCTACTAAACAAAGTGACAATGATACGCCTGGTCCTTCTTTAGTGAACAAATCTTACGGTGGGAAGCAGAAATTTGTTGTAGATAAAAAGGCATTTCCTGAAGGAGCTCAAAGTAACAGACCATTTAAGTCCAGCACTGAAATGCAAGTGGAATCCAATAGAAAAGGAGTTGAGATGCATACATATAAATCTCAGGTGGATTCTGTACAGTTGAAACAAACAGAAAGTGTTTCTTCAAAACACGGAAGCCTGGAAGGTCCCCTGAGTCACTTGGGAAAGAAGTTCCCAAATAAGATTTTGCATTCTGGAGTGTACATTGAGAGGAAGTCTCTTCTGTATTCTCGCTGGAGTTTCAAAGAATGTTTTCCTAAATGGTTTTTACTGAATCGCTTGAAGGGTTGTCAGGCGAGCGGCAGGCGGCTCGTGGAAGCTATATTCTTGAGCCAAAATCCGCTGGAACAAAAACGCAATCACAGCCTGCCACATCTCAACTGGAAAAAGAAAAGGTTGCCCAAACGCTACTGGCAGATGAGAAATATATTTCAGAAACTAGTCAAGAACCATGGAAAGTGCCCTTACTTGTTTCTCCTGAAAAAAAATTGTCCTGTCGGAGTTTATGACAAAGATGCAGGGAAAGCTGAGCTGCCTTGTCCGTCAGCAATGCCTGGGGGAGCAGAAGTTCACAAGCAAGTAGGACAGTTTGGGAAAGAACCAGCTAGGAACACGAGAGACAGTAGCCAGCAAAGTGGTCACACTGATGTGACAAATGACTTGTGTACTCCTCTTCAAAAACCTGCCTGTGGGAAATCACATTGCCAGGAACAAAATCCTGATGAGGTCTGTGATTCAGCCATCCGGGCGCTTCTTGCGCGGTACAGCAGCCGCTGGCACGTGTACGTCTTCGTGCGGCAGTGCCTGGAGCGTGTGGTCCCCCAAGAGTTGTGGGGTTCCAACCACAACAAGTGCCGCTTCCTAAAAAACGTAAAAGCCTTCATCTCCATGGGGAAATTTGATAAGCTCTCGCTGCGGGAGCTGATGTGGAAGATGAGGGTGAATGACTGCCTGTGGCTTCGTCTAGTCAAAGGTACTTAGTATGGTAGGCAAAGTGGGAACAAACCCTGTCCTATCTAACATTTTAGACATCACCGTAAATATTTATATAGGCTTAAATTTTACAATAGCTAGAAAAGCTCAGTGTTCATACTTACTGTATGATCTAAATATTTGATGGATTTAAAACAGTGTTTTTTTTTTTTTTTTTTTGACTGCAGAAATAAGTTCTACGTAGAAAGTTTGAAACAAGCCAGGTCTAACTTTGAATTTATTCAGGAAATCTGAATATTGTTCTCTTCCTCAAGTCAGTTCAATTCTCTTTATTATTACTTTTACATTATACCTAAAAATGTTAATACTTTGACTTTATTTAAAAGTTTTATGCTCTAATAGACTCTTATCTCCTAATTTTCTGCAACGGAACATTTTACCTTTCCCTTCACAATAGTCATGTCATCGCACATTAAAGATCTTGCACAGTCGACTTTGTGAGAAGAGAGTAAGTGTTTGGGTCACTAATTGCATGTATTGGTATCCTTGGTGCTAGTTTGTCACTAAAACTTTGTTTCCATCTGTTTTCTTTAAGCTTTGATGTAATTATTTAGTGACAGTGAAAATGTGGAGTTGCATCTGTGCAATTGTTTGTATTTTGTGCCTTTATTAACCTCAGACTAAAAAAAAAATCTGTGTGCTTTTTTGTTTGTTCTGTATTTTTTTCCTAACGCAGAGAATTGATATTTACTATAACTACATTTGAATTGTTTATTGAAGGTGATCACTTTGTTCCTGCCTATGAACATTGTTTCCGTGAAGAACTTTTGGCTAAATTCCTATACTGGCTGATGGGTACCTATGTTGTTGAGTTGCTCAGATCATTTTTCTATATCACCGAGACTATGTTCCAGAAAAACATGCTTTTCTACTTCCGAAAGCTTATTTGGGGCAAGTTACAGAACATTGGAATTAGGTAACCATAGAAAGCTTATCAAGCATTAATGAAAATATGGAACTCTTTGTTGTGCAGTGTAAACTTATAATTCTGCTTTCATTTATTGTCCACTCATCCTATTTGTTCTGTTCCCTTAATTTTCCAAAAGAAAAATAAGCCTGTGATTATACTCTGCTAGACTGGTAAGTTCAGAAATGTTTTGTGTGAGGGGAAAACTGATTGAATTTTTTATTTCTTTGACGATAATTGACTGTTGAGATAATATTAATTATGAAGAGGATTTTCTTTTGATGAGTCATAGTGGCAAAATCCCAAAGTAAGCTTTGGAAAATTAACTCTACGTTTGAATTCAGACATTAGGCTTGTATGGCTTCTATTTATTTTAATAAGAGTAACGAGTTTAAAAGTGGCAGCACCTCAGTACATTTTTTTTAGTATAGTTTTGAAACTGTCTGCTGCTAGTTCATTCCTAAAAATATATATATGATTTTAAGCCAGGGCATTATTTAGTATAAAATTATAAATGATTAAGTGAGAAAATAAGAAAAATTCAAAGGGAATTTTAATGAATAATATTGTACCCAGCACTGTCTTAGTTCATGTCTTCTGGGTTATCAGTTTAAATGAGTGGTGTCTAAGGAACCTTTAGAACTGTACAAAATGATGATATTTTCTTGTGTTTTAGTGAAATTCTTGGCTTTGCAGTGGTGTGTTGGTCTACAGTGTTAATGTATGCGTGGGGTTTTTTGTTTTGTTTTTCATCACCCTGAGCTCAACACTGGTAATTTCTTCAATGCAGCTGCTGTGCATAATGCGTTTGTTAATGGAGCCTTAGTCCAGAATATGCAGTAAAAATAGTAGTGGTAAATTTCGTTTTGTTTAAACTAACAATCTTAGTGTTGTAATTAACATTTTATGTAAAGTAAGAGCTAACATTCTTCTTTGTTTTGCCTGGAGTATTATTGAGTACTAAATTTTATTTATTTATTAGAGAATACTGTTTTTAATGGAGTCTGTGCTTAAAACAGGTGTGTTTTTGTTTTTCGGGGTTTGTTTTTTTTTTGTGTCTGTGTGTTTTTTTGTTTTGTTTTGGCCAGCTCTTTCTTCCCTGGTTCCCAGTTTCTCTCCCCAAAACACATTTAAGGACAGGGTGGTCTGGACTTACAAGGCTTTAATCTGAGCTGATCCCTGGTCTTCCTGTTTCCTTCCCAATTACTTTCCTGCTGTGCAGGAAGTCCCATCTCATCTTTGGCTCAGGAATTCCCTGAACTGCAGGTGATTGAAAGCTGGTGGTGGTGAGCATCCCAAAGAAGTTGGGTGAAAGAAAGAAGTGAACATGCTAAAGAAGTGGGAAAGCCGAGTGCTTTTTTCGCTTTGAGGACCAAACCCTTCCTGCCCTTACACTCAGGGTAGGATTGCTGCAGGGGTTACAAGTCTCCTACATGGCAGAAAAATCCCCTGCATTGTAGGGAGATGAGATCTCAAAGGCAGCCCAACTATGCACTCAAAGTCCTTTACATTCCTGTGTAAAATGGGGCTCTGAGTGTACAATTCAGAGTAGGATGGTTCAAGAGCTACTAGATTAGTGAGTGTTCAGTCTCATCATCCCTGCTATAAATGACATGAACGATACAGTGATTGTCTGTGAGATGGAATTACAGCTACTGATAAAATGCAGGTAGTGAAGTGGGCATCTGTGCCTTAGAGACCATCCATCTCTTCATTGTTTTCTACTGTTTACTTGAGCTGACTGCTGCTCATCAGGCTGGCTTCTTTGGATCCTGTTTTGGGATACCCAGCTGCCCTCCTCATCTCATATATGTGTACCCTAGGATCTCAGTTCGCTATGACTTTTTTTAGGTGGCAGAGCCTCTAACCCTAAAACTCTAACACCCATTAGTGTGTAAATCCTTCCTTGGATCTTTCCTAATGTAGTTTTCAGAAAGTCCTATCCAACTAAGTAAAGATTTTGTAAGATTTTGAATCGATGGAAAATGTCCAGGTTCACATCGATTTGAATTATAATATCTCCATTAACACAAATGAAAATGTAACTGCAGATTAACTAAGTAAATCTGAAAATTATGAAATAGTTCATTATCTTAGTTTGCACAGCATCAAGTGGAGATGTATACTACTTCTCTATTGCACTGCATAGTCATTAAGTTGCTGTGGAGTTTTTCTGAAATCCACAGATTTCTATTTGGTACCTTAGATTGATGCCAGTTTCTGCAGTAGCATTTTAGTGTGTGTAATTCTTAGTAGATTATTTAGCTGCAGTTATCATAAAGAAATGAAATATTTGTAACCTGCTTCATTTTCTCTTTACTGTCTATGTGTTTATATTTTAGAAACCACTTTGCCAAAGTACAGCTACGTGCTTTATCTTCAGAGGAGATAGAAGCTATCCATCAAAAAAAACCCATTCCTATGGCATCAAAGCTGCGGTTTATTCCCAAATCAAGTGGGCTAAGACCCATAGTAAGAGTGAGTGGTGTTGTTGAAGCAAGAGCGTTCAGCAAGGAAAGCAGAGAAAAGAAGGTTTTTATTTTCTTTATTGTCTTATGGATTTGATGTGGGCAGCTTATATGAGGGTGAGTGGGCTTCTTTTTTTAATGTTACTGGTTAAAGTGAGGAACTGGTGTCCTCAGATGAGATTGAATGGGCTATTGTAACTTAGCTGAGTTTCTTCTTCTCTTGTGCTTAATTATTGTGAGCCTCCAATAGCAGAATCACACAGTTTTGTTTGCAAGCCTGTCTTAAAGTGAGTTTCATGTGATAATATGCTTTCTTCCTCTCTCCTTTCTCTCTCCTCGCCTTTGCCTTGCTAATGTTGCCAGAGTGCTTGTCTTTGGCCATCCATGGGGATAGGAAGTCTCAAAGGCGTTAAGTACTCAATGTTGAGTACAATGTGTGTACTAGGGTATTTGTTTGACTTACCAGGAGGAGAGGGACAGATGAGTCTAACCCACTGGGATATATATGAGTACTTAATCAGCTAGTTGGCTCTTTTGCCAGGTCAACCCTGGGTGTCCATCCCACTTTAGCAGGCCAGGCAGTGGTGAGCTGGGTGTTTTACAGGAGAAAGCCTTGAAAGGACAAGGAAGCAGGATCAGATTCAGTAGGGAGATGGAAAGGAAGCTGGTCATCACTACAGCATGGGAACAGACGCAGAACAACCAATTTAAATGGCCAGTTAACCACAAGACATAGTGGGAGCTAATTTCCAGTCTTTCCATGACTAAATTAATTGCTTTTCCTAATGACTGTGTCCCATTGAGTAGGATAACGTGAAATGTTCCCTAAATGGATGATAGCTCAATGCCTTCTTAGTACTCATAGTTAAGTGTGAATCCAAACTCTTATTTGCCAGACATAGCTGAAAAGCTGCTCTGAAGTATTGTTTTCTTAGTAGTCTTTTTATGGCAATCATACTGTTGGATTGGGAAGAATGCGCATGCATATTTTGGAAATAGCTGCAGTGCTTTAAAGGTGTTTTTGTGCCTGTTGTAGTAGATGTGGCATAAAGCATGAATGCAATAAAGAAGATGAGACTTGAAGTCAGCAATGTTGATGCTTTCAGCTAACCTGCTGCACAAGAGCTAAGGGGGAATATCTGTGCCTGCTTAAAGATAGGAGCAGTGGTTTCCTGCTGGAGATTGTAAACAAACATCTGAAGTCTTCACTTGTTATGAAAATACCTCATTTGCCTAAACTAGGAGAGCACTTGGAACATAGCTGATGATTCTCATAAATGCTGTGCAAGACAAGGTAGTAGTGTTGCATCTCTTCTCAGTAGACTGAGACAGAAGTGTGTTGTGCAAAACAATCGCTTTATTCAATATGGAAGTATTGCTACTGGGCTCATTTTTGTGGCTTTTCTTAGCTTTTTGTCTTCCAGCCTGCTCCATTTTTTTTGTCCGGTGCCATATCCAGTTTCTCTCTGCTCTCCAGTTTCTTCCTAGCATTTAAATCACAAGAGGAAAGCCAACTTCCTATTCTGTCCAATTCTGACAACATTTCAGATTTTAGAGTGAAAGCTGATCTCAAATTTTGAGGGTAGTCATGGCTGGCTCTGTAGCTATACAGTGGAATGTATCAGATAGAGATATATCGCCAATAAAATCTAGCTGATTCATGATTCACGGGCAACTCCATTTTTGCTCTGAAAAAGTGATGAAATAAATTCACAGAAGTGGATTAATCTGATTTTTTTTTTTGAATTTATCTTCAAATTGGCATAGATTTTGTTGTGTTTAAAGATTTGTATGTTTGCTTGGCAACCTTCTTAGCTTTTTAAACCACTATTATTGCCCCCCCTCTCATTTTTATAGTGCAAAGTACAAAACAGTGTGAGGGAGTGGGTTCTTAAATGCACAAAACAAAACAGACTTTTATAGATTTTTCACTACATTCTGCAAAGATTCCAGCAGATACTTGAATTGTGCAAAATATTCTTAGCTCTGTTGATAAGATCTGTACTTTGAAATTAGTAAGAGGCTGGAGGGAATTCCTTCTGCCATTAAAAATTAAAATAAGGAGCTGTTGTGAATTTGTGAATACTTTTCTTTTTTCTTAGTTCAAACCAGTCTTTGAGCTCTGAAGCCTTAATTGCCATGCTCTTATTGACACCGCCTGCTAACATCCTTAAGGATGTTTTAGTGACATGAAATAACTTAATATTAAAGGAAGCATCCTGGGAGACCTAAAAAGGGAAGAAGGAACTATTCTGTTGAATATTACTTTGATCTTTGTGCTTCTTTTTGTGTTCATGAGCTATATCTTTTCCTTTTGGACTATATTTAAGTACTGCGCCTATACTAGCAAGGATGTCACAGGAGTAGTGGTCAGGAAAGGGCTTTAACTTTATATAACAAAGATTTGTGAAATTGGTTAAAACCACTTTGCCATATCAACCAATTAATTAACAAAACTTGTTACCGTGTGTAAAATGGTGAAGTTGGACCATGCTGCTTCACAGGCAGTGGTACTCAGGTACTTCAATGTACCTGAGTTTTGGCAGCTTTTCATTGAAAGCGGTATTATTATTATTATTTTCTTCTGGTTCAGATGAACCAGATGGCTTAAAGTTAGAAATTTCCATTCTTCTGTATCGTGATCATAATACTGCCAGTGAAAATAAGAAGACTTTTATGTTCCATGTATGTGTCTTGGAGGATTTCTTCAAACTGGTTGAATCTTATTTCAAGTCTGCCCTTTCAACATTCTTTTATAGCGACATCTGGTAGTTTTTTCCTCAAAGTATTGACAGAGCAACATCTCCATAATGAAGCTGCCAGACTTCTGTTCTGTTGCACTGTCCCCACAGCTGGGAGAGTTAAACCTTAGCAAAAGCATCTGCAGGTGATCCAGAGAACCAGCTAACAGATGTGTTTGTAGCCTAAGAAAAATTACCTTGTAACTGGTAATGGTTTTATTTGCTGAAGTCCCTTTATTAATGTTCTTAACTATCATCACTCCTTGATTTCTGAGCATTAAACTTAGAATAAACGGTTTCTCTACCTCTTAAATGTATCAATCTCAGAGGCCTTTTGCCATTTCTGTTTAGTCACTGGAACTGTACTTGAGCTTTCGGAAAGCTGTAATTGATCAAAAATACAGTAAATATACAAACTGCCTCTCAGATATTGTCCAGCTGTAAAATGTCTGTATTCTGCAGAATTTAATATTTTTCAACGTACTTTGGGTGGTTTTCTTTGATCTCTTTAGGTTCATCACTACAATACTCAACTGAAAAATCTATTTAGTGTGTTAAATTATGAAAAGACTATAAATGCCACATTCCTGGGCTCATCAGTGTTTGGGAAAGATGATATCTTCAAGATATGGAAGAAATTTGTTACAAAGGTTCTTGAATCGGGTGGTGAGATTCCTCATTTCTACTATGTCAAGGTATACTTTTTTTTTTTCTTCCGTAGTTGAAACCAAATCTTCAAATTAACTGCTGAAGATATTTTTACAACTGTGAGCTCTGCATGTTGTGTTTTTTCTTAAAAATCACCTAACAGCAGAATTCTGCTTAAGTCAGAATTCTGCTGTTAGGTGATTTTTAATTTTCTGTTTCTGAAACTGTACTTCCTTTTGTTTCTCTCAGATGCTAGTTATTGCTTCAGATCATGCACTGGATTTTTGCAATTACATTTACTGGGCATAAAGATGAGACAAAACTGTAAATATTGAGGGACAGGACAATTTTACGGAAGTGTCGAGGGGGAGACAAAAAGAAAACACGGAAAACGGTGTGAATTTGGATAAACACAGCATCTTTTGATAAATAGGTGTCTTCTACCTTCATACTATTCTTTTCTGATGAAAGTAGAAAACCTGAACTGTAATATGTCTTTGCCCAAGTTTCTTCTCTCACTTGCAAAACTTGAGCGCATTTTAAAACCCGTGGTTAAGAGTTTCTTCTTGAGACTTATTTTTCAGTTGTGTCTAGCAGGAAATCTCAAGGGCTTTAGCTCAGTCTGCTAGGTCCGTGTTGTGAGCTGCCGTCCTATGCTTTGTGTATCAGTTGGCATCCTCTCCTGAAGCTGCTTTCACGGATTCTTTCATTATCTTTCAAGCCAAATAATCCTATTGTTGATGTAGTTTTCGTAAAGCTGTTGCTTTTTCAGGCTCTTTTGAGTTAAGATCAGGTAGAGTAAAAGCAAAGATAAGATTGTAATATGAGCACTAGGAAAAGTCAAACATCTTTTCTTGCAGCTTTAGAAGAATTCTGGGATCATGAAGACGAAATCCTAGAGATGAAAGTTTATTTAAAAAAAAGAAAACGGCAAGCATACAAAAAAATAGCAATACATTGTAGTTAAATGATCAATATTTAAATGTTAAAGGCTGCCTGTGCAGCTTTCAATGTTCACTAGTTTTCATTATTTAATCGTGAAGGTGCTATGTAGTGCAGATTACACTGCACAGATTACAGTAGGGATCACTAATAATAATAAAATTAATTCTAAAGCTGATAGTTTGGAGACCTCTACTTTCAAGGGAAAACTGCTCTTCAGTGAAGAAATAGTTTGTGTGCAGATAAGTAGGAGGTCTGTTTTGTGGTCGGATTGAACCAGATGGTAGAGTAATTTATGTTTCAGCTTTGTTTTCATTCTTAAAAGAGTATTTGCAATAATAATGGTGAATACATAACAGATGATTCTTCTGTTTCAGACTGATGTGTCCAGGGCTTATGATACCATTCCTCACAAGAAACTTGTGGAAGTGATTTCACAGATCTTAAAACCTGAGAAAAAAACAGTTTACTGCATACGACGGTATGCAGTGATTAAGTTTACAGCAAGTGGAAAAGCCAGGAAGTTCTACAAGAGACATGTATGCTTTGCTGTTTTCTTCTACTTACTGATGCTATTTTTCTGTCTAGGGAATATATTTGTGTATATATACATATATGCTTCTTTATGGTGAGGGGGGAGGTCTATTTGAATTTCGTAATTACTGTAAGATGTTTTGGCTTCCACTTATTTATGGGAGTGGACAAAACTGCATTTTCCTCTGCAGAATTAGTAAAAATAAAAGTTAGTCGTAAGTGTACTTATGTGAATACAGGAATATAAAGGGAAGGGAGAATTTTTGTTTCAGATATAGCAAGCATTTTTGGATTAAAATAAATAACCTGACCCTTTCACTTCCATTAAATAATTAATAATGAGTCTAGTACTGGATTTTCTATTGCTTTTGTCATTTGTTTCTTTACACTTACTATACAGGTTTCTACTTTCAAGGATTTTATGCCAGACATGAAACAGTTTGTGTCCCAACTTCAGAAGAGTGACTCATTGCAAAATTCAATAGTGGTTGAACAGGTAAATATTAGGAAACTTCTTCTCAATTGAAAAAGAAAGCTACATAGGAAGTAGAGAAGTGTGTGTTTGTTTGTTTTGTTTTGTTAAACAAATGCACATATCATAAGGTGATTTGGCTTCTGTCTTAGTTATTTAACACTTTCCGTAATACGAATTCTCTTCTTTGGTCTTTATAGCAAACTTTTAATGTTCAGTGAAAGGATCAAGACTTCTGACAAAATGTCCTTCTAAACTTCTTCCAGATTTTCTCATTGAACTTCGACTAGAACCAGTGTTTCTTTTTGAATATTTATTAATGAATTTTATTATCTGTTGCAACACTTCTCAAGTGAGAAGTTATTTACATAGTAAAGGAAGGGCTTCAAATACTTATTATCCCCAAAATGTAAAGAAGTAAAAATGTAAACAATGTGCCTTAAGTAACTTAAGGAAATAGATAAGGAGTCTTGAATAGCCAACTTCACTGAACGAAAGAATGGTTTTAAAAACAAACTTTTTTTTTTAAAAAAAAAGTTGCCAAAATTTGTAAGAATAAACTTTTCTTTAGCAGAGTTAAAATGGAGTGCAAAACATCATTAATTCTTGTGTTGTCTTTTAAAGAGATTGCCCACTGTGTAAATGAAAGTACGACTAAAAGTGATTTATTAAAAAAGCCCTTTGTTACAAGAAACAAGCATCCTTTTGTTGTTCCAATTCTTGTGCTTTAGAGAACTATACTAATTCCAAATAATATTTGTTCTCAATACTTCCTTCCGTACAAGGACCATAACAGAGGAAAGTATGGAAGTAGATGATATAGCTAGTCCATTTCTCAATATGTCTTACTGCTTGGCATCACGGTGATTCATGTATGCTATTAGTGTATATAAGCTTCCTGAGCCACAGATGCCCAGAAACTCTCGAGTATTTTCTCATGCTGTACTTCCTCTTCCATGTTTCTCCTCTTCCTTCACTTGCAAGTGGAAGATTTTGAAGTGGGGTAATTTGTACGCCTAACCTATAAGAAAGTAATCTTGTACATCTGGGAAGAAGGGCAGAATGTTAAGGAGGGCTGTTGCCTCCCTCCAGGATTCTGCAAAGTGCAGAGACCCTAATGAGCCTATGAATGAAAGTTAAAACCTTCTGGTAACTTGTATGCAGGGTTTGTTTTTCTGTTTTTGTAGTGCACATTGATTTAGATGATTAGATGAGGTAGCATTCTGTTTCACAGTATTTTTAGGAATGAATTCGAGTGTCATTTAAGAAGTCAATATGGGCATTTATGCTATGGCTGCATCACATTCGCACTTCGGTGCATATCTTTAACTGTAATCTCACGTGGCTCGAGTAAAAGGTGCCTTTTCTCACCTATAATCCATTTGCATAGGAAGTGATTTTGTTTCTGTGCTGGGTGCGGTTGTTGCTAAGGTATTTCAACTAAGTGAAAGGTTGTCATTCACTTTTTACACAAAAGCCTTGTTCATAAATATTGAGCAGGCAGTCACACAGGCTGTCATTGGTAATGTGCAGCAAGGAGGTGGAATGTTTTGCAGGAGAACAGGTAGGTGCGTATTTCTGTATTTGGAAATCGTAAAGAACCCGGTGGGGAATAGCAATCAAAGAGAGGAGGTTTCATATATTGTAATCTCTTTTGATTTATACATGTTATAATATAGTCTTTCCAATCTCTCCGTCATTCTTCTATATTTATTCGTTGCGAGAAACTTTTTAGTGTGTATGTTCAGTTTCTGTTTTTAAGTTGTTGTTTCTTCCCCTAGAGATTTGAACTAAGAAAGGTTTCTATGTATCTTCTAGTTTAGTTTTAGTAAATTGCCAGTTTCAGTACTTCTTTAAAAAAAAAAAAATACAAATTGTGTTTTGTTTTGTCCTGTTTTTAGAGTTTATCTTTTAATGAGACAAGTGACAGCCTGTTTACATTTTTTCTGCAAATGTTACATAACAACATCCTGGAGATTGAGCGCAGGTAAAAAAAAAAAAAAAAGTTTGTTTATATAATAGGTGTTTTTATTTTTATTTGAAAATTATTTATAATTTATTTTAGTCTAAGTTTTTAGAAAAACATGAAGCATTTGAAATCAAATTTATTTATGAATACAATTTTTATTTCCCATCTGGATGATACTAATTCAACTATATTCTGAGTTTTAAGTTTAAGGGAAAGATGCTTAAACAAGCCAAACATAGGATTTTTTTTTCCTCAAATCATCAAGCTGTGGTTGACTATAGATGATGTTTTCTAAATACAGCGTCAGACCAAGCGGAAAAGAAGGGTGAGATCTGTACTAAACCAAAATTACAAATAAGGCTTTTGCATAACTGCCTGAGTGCTACCTTGCTCTTGGTCACCACAGTGGATCTCTATGTCTTTATCTAGGGACTGAGAGGGAATCTTCTAATACAGTTTGATTAGAAGTCTGGAATAAGTAATATTACACCTAGAAAAAAAATGCAGGTGACTCGCAACATCAGTAAGATCTTCTAAGCTTCAAGATATTAGTCTGATGTCCACAGTTTTCTATAATTTTGGTCCTTTTAATTTCATTAAGCCAGTAATAGCAAAATGGGCGTTTTAATGCAGTACCTTCTTGTTGACAGAATACTGTGAAAATAATATGCTTGAATTTCGTGTAGCATTCTCTGTTGCTACTGGTATTAAAAAAAAAAAAAAAGAGGTAACTTTATGCAACTGACAAGATGAATGAGATACTGAAAAATGTCACTCTGGCTGTGTCTGTGTGAATTCTTTGCAGCTATGGAAAACAAAACGAGATTTGAGATTTATACTTCTGCAAGGTGATGATTGGCAACTGCAGCGAACTTCCTGGGGGCGGGAGTTGAGTATGAATACTACTAATAAAAAAGCAAATGCCAAAAGCTCAGCATGTCACAGTATGCTAGTGATTTTTCTACATTAGAAGCAAGATATTTTCATGCTTGAGCAGTTATATGTGGAAATAAGGTGATTCACAGTGAAGTATACAAAAAATGCCTGAGATGTATGACCAGATTACATATTTCATTAGACTAAGCTTTCAGGGATTTCACTGTGTGAAGAGTGGTGGAAAAAATAATCAAGAAAATGTTTCCTGTGGACAAATAGTATTATACTTGTAGAAGTGAAGAATAAATACTTCAAGCAGCGCACTTAAATCTAATGTAGTTAGAGAGCTTTACTCCGACTTATGGAACTGAAATAATGTTATTGTATTTAAAAAAAGGTGTTTTTTTTTCTTTTAAACAAGTTATGAATGTTTATAACTGAACTTAATGTGGAAGTCTCCTGTTTCTCAGAAAATTTAAAACTATTTGACTTTCAAACCTGCCCGAATTATGCTGTACATTAACATGAGGGATTTAAGCTTCACCCCATGGAATTTTTTTTTAGCGAGCACTTCCTTGAAGCACTTGAGATTTTAAAAAAACAATAATAACAGCATTGTAGTTAAGTGTGGGGTTGTTTGTTTTTTCTTTGCATTGTATCATTTCTTTCACAAGTTTTTTAAAAAGAAAAAGTGGGAGATAAGGAATTAAGGAAATTAAGGAGCCACATATCGCCTTTGTAACTCCTCTGTGAAAGAGGAAAGGAATTGTGCAGTTACAATTTTTTTTTATTTATTTAATGATAGCTGTCTACTGGAGTTTATTAGTATAAAAACATAGAGATTTACCTCTTTGCAAGTTTTCAGTTCATCAAACGTATCTAGATTCTTAGAGGAAAGCAATAACATAATTAAGTAAAGGTTAATTGAAGTTTTAAAGCATATTTCTTACTGAAAAATACATACTATGCTTAAAAAAGAGTAAATGTTCAATGGCTATTGGAATTTTCTTGTTACTTGTTTTGATTTGTGGTGGGGGTTGTTCATTTTCCTTCCCAGGTACTACTTGCAGTGTTGTGGAATTCCCCAAGGCTCCATTTTGTCAACCTTGCTTTGCAGCTTATGCTATGGAGACATGGAAAACAAATTGCTCTGTGGCATACAGCAGGATGGGTAGGGTGATCTGGATGTTTTTTTTCCTGTGCTCTGCTATATTTTGTGTATTTTTTCAGCTGGCTGCTAGATTGTTCAGAAACAGCAACATAACATTCTGTGAAGTGCAAACTATGAATATTTTCTTTGTGATGTGGAACGTTCCTCTTTTCCCAGTTTTATCAAAATACTTTATTCAGAATCTTCCTTTAATGTTACCTACAGCTAAAGGTAATAAAGGATTGCTGTTTGAGGGCAAAAAAATTAAGTTTGCAAAGAGAAGTAGAATGCAGTAGTCAAAGGATGCTTTTTTAAATGGCCAGTATACACCATTTTTCTGTCTGTTTAAATAGCTGACTGCTCAATCCTGTGTTTTGGGTTTGAGTCTTGCTGTACCCTCAGGCCAAGTTTTGCAGAATATTTTCACATTCTTCACTTCCTATGAAAATAAAAATGCATCTAATGGCTGTACAAGTTGTACAACACTGAAGCAAAACTCAATTTTACTACATATAAACAACTAGATTAATGAATTGACACAGCTGGACTGTTAATCCCGCAAACTTTCACATTACAGATCATTGCAAAAACAACTATTTGTGATAATCTCTTGGCTGTCTTCATCATACTTGCTATATAGCAGAATACAAATAATGTGGGAATCTCAAATTAGTTTCAAAGTCATAGGTGATTTTTTGTTTTAGTTTTCTAACTTTAATTTTGTATTTTAAGTATTCACTACTCTCATTAGGAGTGCAGTATACATTAAGACCTCTGAAGCTTCGGTGTGCCGTAATCATTAGTATGGGGAGAGTTTCTTTAGTTTTCATAAGATTGGAAAGAGAAGTGCTGAGAGGGAGCTTTCCCAGCTATGTAGGTGAGAGGTTTCAATAATACATTGAATATATTGAACCTCCAGGTTTCAGTTGCGCTGTTCTGATTCCTTGCAAAGTTTACAAACGTGGAAGACTTGCTAGGCTTTTACCAAGAGCGTAGTATTTAGTGCTGCTGTAACATTTCTGACAGTATCTTCTTGATAAGATACTAGCAGGTTTATGGTTCTCCCACATTCGTTCCCACGACGCTGTGCTCCTTTGGCCTCAGCCAAGACAGAGTCTTCATTACAAGCTTCTGAAAATTCCTGGCTCCCACCCGAGGGTCTTCCGCTCAACCATCTGCAAATCTTATTGCTGTTATCAAGGTCATATGTTTTGTTGTGGTTTTCTTTACAAGGCCCACTGTCTTTTGTTAAAAGCCCTGTGTGGTTCTTGGTACAGCCTCAAAGTCTTTGAGCCCAACTTGTGCTTGTTTCTCAGCAGTCCTGCAGAATGCAAGCCAGGCAAAAGCTCTGCTTTTTCACTAGACATAGAAAATTTGGGTCCCCTTCTGCCTCCATATGAATTGGTCCCTGGTTGAATCCCAGATTAGAATCTTGAGACATAAACAGGACATCAGTGAGCTTCTTGAAGCTTCTTGTTGTTCACACATCTTTCTCCATTACTGTGAATTCTCCTCTAATAAAGGTAAAAGAAGCTAAGTGTGTAGGGGCACTCTTGATAAGTTAATCAGTCCAGTGTCTCATCTTCAAAGCTCCCTGGATAAGGAGAATCACCACTTTTAGATACCTTCCTTCTACACAAACAGTATAATTCTTAAGATGCTATAAAAGGCATTCTTCAATTATTAGGCTCTTTTCTGAGTCTGTCAGGGCTCTTAGTCCTGTGCATTACCATATGTGTTACTGTAAAAGTTATCCTACCAGGTGTTGCCAGGGTTGATGAACCAGAGGTTGTCACCGTGTTTTATACATTAGCTTCTGGAAGGACTGAGCCAAGCATAACCACATGGAGCATGTAGTTATCTGGGCTGTTTGTTCCATGGTACAGATTACTAGAGATTCCCACATGCAACTTCCACGAAGACTTCCCTTTTGCAGGTTGGTTGTAGAGACTGTAATGATAGACATCTAAATAACTATCCATTTCTTTCAAGGAGTGTTTTTTAGTAATATTGAAATTGCAAAACGCTGGTTCATAAAAATATATTCTTGTGTATAGCAGCTGTTTTTTTTGAGTTTTGGGGCATATTGTAGGATCTTGTTTAGGTGTATACTCTGATGTTAGTATTTTCATTTGACCTGAGTGGCTGTTGATTTGGCTGGACAAAGGTGCAGCTGATTTCTTGTAGTGAAGGCTTGGAAAGGGAGTCTGGAAAGGAAGATCTATTAGGCAGAACTTTGCACACAAATACAGGTAGTCTTGGGGCATGCCTTTTGTTAAAAAAGGAAATTTCAGCCTTTACTGTGGTGGACCTTAGTGGTTTTTTTTTTTTTTTTTTTTTTTTGTTCAAGTTGCAGCTTCACAAACAAGCTATCAGATATGAAGTTAAAGTATATCAAGTATCTAGTATCTTCAAATGTGTGTTGTATTATACCACCTTTGGTTACGTTGTGAACAAAAATAATGTAAATTCTCAAGTGTAAAATCTTGCCTTCAGAAAGCTAATATGTAGTAGCTTTTGTGCTCTGCATTCCGATATTGTGTAATGTAGCCAGCCTTTATGCTTCTTTTTTTAAAAAAAATATTTACTCTTAATGGAGAAGCAAAGCTAGGAATTTCTTCATGCAATGTACGTTTGAGGTTGTGTTGGCCTCTACCTCCTTGTGAATTAAAGGAAGCAGTAATATGATTTGGTACATCATCCCTCAGAGGAGATTAACAAAAATTTGAAAGGATTACCTATCAAGCAATTTAACTGCATTTTTTACTTGTTTCCAGAGTCCTGATACGTTTAATTGATGACTTTTTGCTGGTCACACCACACTTAATGAAGGCAAGAACTTTTCTGAGGTATGCTATTAAATGCACATTCCTTAAAGTAATAAGCATTAACATTTTTAGGATGTTGTGTTTGATCTCCTTTGCACCTATTCATATAAGTATGTTTGGTTTATGGATTAGTAATCAAGGGCTAGTTTTGGAGTCCTCACTAGTAGCCCGTGACTGGGAAGAGTCCTAATTGTTGTTCTTGACAACCAACCATCCGTTGCACCTGGATGGAGGGAGATTGTGAGATTTAAAGTAGGGATCTAGTTGCTGATTTTGACAGAGCAATTAATAATGCAGACTAAGCCAGAACAGCTGACAGTTGTCTTTTATGACCATTTTTCCTCAAAATATTAAAATATTTTAACTGCCTCTTTTGAATGTTTTTTATCAGGGGGGTATGCTGCCACCTTCTGTTTTCGGTGAAGCAATGTAATTATTTCCTGTTCTGATAATGATCAGGAAATTCCTAGCAACAGTATCCTGAGGTGAATGCTTGAAGATAATGATGGCATGGCAGCATGTAACTCTCAAAACTTTTGGAAGAGTGGTTCTTCAGAGTGCTTCAGAGTTTCTTTTGTTTTTAGACTGGTTGTCAAAAGATGTTCTTTGTAATTTTGGAAATGAATGTACATACAGTCAGCATCCAAGGAGCTGGGTTATGCTGATGCCAAAAGCAGTTTTATGAATTCGGTGAGAGGGATCTTAAAGATAATCTTTGCACCTGCAAGACAGTCAGTTACATCGTGCTTTTCACAGACAAAAAGAAGCAGTTCTGTCTTGACCTTGAAACTTGTCATGGTCAAGTACAGCTAGAAGTGTAAATTGTACTGACTAGTGGGATGGTGCTTCTTGAAGACCTTATTTACCCTGAGCTCCTTGACAAAACAGCATAAAATCTGTAGTGATGTCATCATGGATCTGCAGTTCAGATGAATCATTTGACTTAAGTCACGAAGGACATCAGTAGAGTTGGGGATACCTCAAAATATTTCTCTGTAACATCTTTTCAATAAAAAGTCACTTGCAGTAGTATTGCAAATATTCTCCTGTTTTCCTTTGAAGTTATTGGCACCTTCATGTTTTGTATCAGTTTTGCACTGATTTTATTTGCTTTCTGTGGACAGGTAGCCTCTTTGGTGCTTTTTGTGCTCCCTGCTTTAGTGAACCTTCTGAAACAAAAACTTACATATGGTTTTGACCTCAGTGGTTTCTGTGAGCATGGTTTATGCAACTTGAATCTCAAGTGTTTCATGGTTTAAATTCTCCTTTTGCCTTAATGTGTAAAAGTTCGTCTCATTATATCCTTAAGCTTTTCCTTTATTTGTTTTACCTCTGCTATCTTCAGGTTGTGGTATTTCTAGCATGTACACTCATCTAAAGGGCTGGCCATGGTTTCTTTATTCTTGAGTTTCTGTCCTTTATTTCTGCAGATCCTGTGTGCCGTGGGCTGGAGAGGGAGGTTTGTGTTTGAGGAAGGGGGATAGGCTAACTGTCTATATTTGTTTTAGGACTCTAGCAACAGGTATTCCTGAGTATGGCTTTGCAATAAACCCTAATAAGACGATCGTGAATTTTCCTGTTGATGATATCCCAGGATGTTCTGAATTTAAACAGCTCCCAGATTGTCGTCTGATCCCGTGGTGTGGTTTATTATTAGATATACAGACACTTGAGGTTTACTGCGATTACTCCAGGTAAATAGAATTGTATCCTCCAGCATAAGTTTTATAGTGTTTGTTTTACTCTTGAGAAGTACAAGGCTGTCCTGTGAATGATATATTTGAGTGCACTGCAAAACAAATTTTCCAATTCTTTCTCTTATGCAGTAATTTAAACACTCTTTTTCTTCTATGCAGCCTGCCATTAGCTACGTTCCATCCCCCTGGGACACATATACCATTAAGCTCATCAAATGTGACATAAGTTAGCAGTGACTAGAAGTCCTCGTATGGTCACCACGTGGCTCCTGAGAAATTCATGTGATCAACTCAATGCAATTTCTTTCACCAGTACACATTGTATTACTAAATCTGGTACCATGATCTCAGAATGATTAATGTAATTACATATTTTATATACCTTAACAGAGACACCAATGATTAAATTAACTATTAATTTGGTATAGATTAGGGGAGCTAGTAATCCTGCTAGTATCAGAGGCTGTGTCTCAAGTAATTTTCAAATCTGAAATGTAGGGGGAAAATAATCAGTGTTGCCAATTTAAAGAGATGTTAGCTACACAAAGCAGTTTAATTGGAACTATGAATCTCAGGAAAGGATGTACGCTAGGGAGAACTTCCATAGATTACTTGCATGGAATCCTAGACATTTCAGTAATCTCCAATCTTGTGGACTTGGCTATTGATGAAAGCTTTTAGACTGAATATGGTTAGTTATAAAGACACCATCATTATTAACAAGAGGTTTTCTCTCACTGGAACAGTAAAGTTCATTAGTAGTTTTCTGAAAGATAAAAGCTTGTTCAGCTTACAAAAATATTTCTGTAACTTTTTTTTTTTGTTTTACTAAAATCAACAGTTAAAGAGATCTTTTCACTTACTGTATTTATAAAACAAACAATTCGGGTGTATGTAGGGATTGCTGCAACTGCTTGTTGGGCCAAGGTGAACTGAGGTGATTTCCGCTCTTGGCTCCCGAGTTGCATGGATCACTGAATATAAGCTAGTCGTTGCTGGAGTACCTAATAATGTTTTGGCTAGACCACATGCTTTAGGAATGCATATGCTTTATTTAAAGTTTTTGACAAGGTGAATTATTCATCCCCGAGGTACTGAAGTCATTCCTGTATCTAATAGCTTCAGTGCTACATTCTCTGGCGGTTTTCTAATTTGTATTTGCTTATAGTCTTTTAGCTATTGCCTCATAGATTTACAAAGTAATCTCTGTAACATAAGTTAATTTAGCTTATTAGTCTGTGGAGTTTAACTACTTTTGTTTTCTTTCTAGTTATATCGGTACTTCCATCAGATCAAGCCTTTCCTTCAATTCGAGCAGAACAGCTGGGAAAAACATGAAATGCAAACTGATGACAGTCCTCAAGCTCAAATGCCATTGTTTATTTCTTGATTTACAGGTGGGAATCTAGAAAAGATGTCATGATTAGTGATAAAGTATGTTAAAACTGCTTGGAGTTCTAACATAAAAGTTAATTTTAAAAAAGCAAACATATTTTGGAATTACTGTCATCAACTGTAATATGGGGTATCAGCACCTTCCAGAAATGGGCTTTCAAAATATTCTAACTTGTGTATTTAATAGAAGTTTTTGAAGTATAGGATAAAATACAATTTCTCTCTTGATTGATTGTCTTATATTTTTGGACATGAACAAAGTGCATTTGTTCCTGGTGTCAGTAAAATATTTCCACAGCTTTATTTCTGTTCTATTCTAGATCAACAGCCTTAGAACAGTTTTCATTAACATCTATAAGATATTTTTACTCCAGGCGTACAGGTAGGTCACTGTCTTTTGTAGGAACTCTGAATATTTCAGTATTGTTTCTTGACACATGGTGGAGCTACAGATTAGCAAACAGTATGCCAAAAACATATGCTGTGGTAAATTGTATTGAGCTACATTACTCTTGAAACAAGACTATTCTTACATAATATTGTATAATTCAATATACAATATAATTCAAATTGCAGTCTGTGTTTAAGTGACGCTTTGCTTAATGGATTTTTAATATCCGTGAGTATTTACAGCTGAACTCAAGAAAAGCAGTTTTATTCTGGAAGGAAGACTAGAAAGCTAATCACTTATTAACTAATGTATATTTAGAACTTTGTATCTATTAAAATCATGTAGAACTTTGTCCTGGATAACTTTGCTTTAAGTGAGGTATCATTTTTCCAAGTTAGTTTCTTAACTACTGATAATTCTTTATTTGCTTCGTAGCTGGCAAAGTTTAGATTTTTGTTGTTGTTGTTGTTGGTTTTTTTTTTTTTTTGAAATGAACATTTTTGAACAAGGATAAGTGCAATCAAAACTAATACACAAGCTGGTAAGATACCAAGTAGCATAGGGGAGTGTGGGGGACAAACATGAAAGAAGGTTAGTATGAAGATCAAATCTCCCAGGTCTTAAACTACTCTTCCAGTGTTTTTCTGGTGGATGCTTGATGATGTAACCTGCCTGTTACTGTGCTCTATTAAGCCTTTTTTAGTTCCATCTTTCCAACCCTAGACAGGAGACAACAGAAGATAATGGTCATGTCGTCATGTTGTATTCCTAACGTTTCTTATTCTAGCTCATGAATCTTGTTATCAGTTGTTTCCAAATACTGGAATATCAAAAGTCATTTTCTTATTTCCTCTGATTTGTGTCTCAATTCACAATCCATTAAGAGGTTGTTGGTTTTTGTTTTGTTTCTTAAACAAGATATTTTTTTAAGAGGTATTTTCCCCTTTATAAAAATCAGGTACTGCCCTTTAGTTGTCAGGTAATACTGTTGCTAGAGACCTTGTGTAGTTTTACATTTTATTTCATTGGCTATATTGGACCTTGTATGGGCATTCAAGCTTACTTTCAGGATTTATAGAAGTCATGCGTGATTCTTCTAATGTGTGATTCCATAAAAGCTGTCAAGTTACCGAACATTCATACAGGCAGACATCTTGTTCAGGTGTTTGTGCAGGATTTCAAATATGTTTTTTTTGTTTTTGTTGTGTTTTCCTTCCCTTCTCCTGTCTATAACACAGTAAGTAGTTGCAGAAAAAAAATCATCTTTCTCTATGGTTTAGCAGTTGTGTTTCAGCCACTGTTTCAATGTTGGTCTTTATTGGTTTCCCTTGTCAAGGACGGTAAGTGATTTAAGATGGTGCATACTTATGTTCTGTGATATACTTGGTAGGAAGAGGAATTTTAGTTCTTTAGTTGTGTTCTTAAATCCAGCTTCGTATGCATATACCTCTTTTGTGACTCATTTGTAGTACCTGATGCCTTAAAAGTTCCTTTAAACCTTTTTTGTGGTTGATTTCTGATTTTCACCTAACTGTGTTATGCTGTATGTTTAATCATTTTAAATGATTTCTGTTTGATTTTATGATAAAACTTTTATTCTCCCAAAGGTCTTTATTATATCAGAATATATGTACAAAACTGTTCACTGCACTAGCAAGCAGACAAACAACTAATTCAGTATTTTATGATCTAGTACAGCAATTATGTTATAATATTTTAAAATAACTAAACTCCATTTTGCTGTGTTAATTTAACAAACTAAATAAGTCTGTACATTGTTGAATAATTAAAATATTCAATTACAAAAACTAGTTTTTGTGTTCAGCATAGACAAGGTTTTAATGCCAGAGTCTGAAGCAAACAAAGTAGCCAACAATTTTTTAAACCCTCAATAAAGAGGTGCAAAGGAGCACACAATATAAATCACTTACATAGATTTGGCCTTCAGTTAGACAAAAGAGTGGGGATCCTGGCGTGTGGAACTCTAGAGCGTTTGGAGGTCTGCCCACCTGGAGAGCAAAGCCTGTTTCGTGTGTGTGTGTGTGTCTTCTGGCTTTGCAGTCTGTGGTATGAGATCGGTGAGGGACTTCAACATTCCCACAGATAGGACAATTAGTATCTTCAGAAGAAATTTAAAAATAAAGCTCTTATTCATCTCAGCCTGATTGGGTTTGTATTTAGGAGTGGTATGCTAACAGAGTTAATATAGCTATAGGCTGTTTGGTGCTGTTAAATTTTGTGTAGGAACTAAGGTATGGAATTGTACTTTCACTTTAAATTGCAAATGATTTGTGATTAAATAGGCTCTTTTTATGAACAGGTTCCATGCATGTGTTCTCCAACTTCCATTTAACCAGCAAGTTAAAAACAACCCTTATTTCTTCCTAAGGATTATCTCAGAAACTGCATCATGCTGCTATTCTATCCTGAAAGCCAAAAATGCCGGTACAGTATTAATAATGGCAATGGAATATCATAATTTATCCATCTTTTCTTAAAAAAGAAAAGAAACTTGAATTCTGAAATAAAGATCCAGAATAAAAAAAGGTGGAGTAGATACTAAGCATCACACTTAGTGTTCCCCTGCCTGCTTAAGCTCCATTTACTGAAAATAAAGTGTTTCAGGTTTTCTTTTTTAGTTGCCTGCCTGCCTCCCTTATGGACTTCACTGACTATGTGTTTTAAGTTTAAAATTGTAGTGATGTATACAGAAAGTGGAGGGATCATACATGCTTCTGAATGCACATTCTTTTCAATGGCTACATCTTTCTGCTCTGTCTGTAGGTATTCCTCTAGGCAACAAGCGTGCAACTGGTGTGTTTCCCTCTGAGGCAGCAGAATGGCTTTGCTATCATGCCTTCACTGTCAAGCTATCAAACCACAAGGTTGTTTACAAATGTCTGCTTAAGCCCTTGAAAATATGTAAGTATTCGATTACTTTTACAGGTTTAAATATGATCAATTCTAATAAAATGTAGAATTCAAAGTATTTGTAAGGTTTTTTCTTAAAGCATTTTTTTCTGAATTATACAGTAATACATGAATCAAATATTAATATTAATCAAATCCACATGTGCTTAGACATAAACTAAATAGAATAAACTAAAATGGTAGTTTCAGCATTACATGTTCTATGGCCTTGTTACACATGGAGGAAAGCTGTTTTTATCTGGGGCTCAACAAACTTGTAGAGTTCAAGCTTAATATACTTGAGTTGTCATGTAACGTTCTCAGTAACTTGAATTAAATGAAAAATAAATGTTCAGATCTCTGATTTAAAAAAAAAGATTGACAGTAAGGACCCATCTTTGCCCTGGGCATTCTGGACATCCTGGGCATTCAGTTTGCCCCGTGTGCTGTATCACAATTGCACATCGAGTGTGTTGTCAAATTGCTTTAGCACTCCACTCAGTTTAACAAAAATAAATAAAAAAAGCTGTCATTACCAGGCTGGCCTCTGGTGTCAGTCTGTCCTGGTCAAGATGTGTAGTCTGATCACAGACCAGCCTTGGAACTCACAATTTTGAATTCAGAGATATTAAAAGTTAATAGGAGTGAACACCAGTAGCTTTAAGAGGTCAGTACTACTGTTGAATTTTTTCCCAGTAAAGACCAGGTACAGGAACTGCTCCGAGGTTTCTCAGTGCTGAGTGTGGAATTAAGAACACTGGATTACTTTGTCACACTGAAAAAATCCTCAGTCTGGTTTCAGTGTAGCCCCTGTTGGGTCTCTAAAGCTACCACAGGCTCAATTTCAGTGCTAAAACAGTGCACCAAAAAGAGAGCAATGCTGTTTCTGAAAATGAGCATTTCCTTCCCTTATGCAAGGCCTACAGGAAAAGCCAGAGTGCGCCCAGTCCTCTTCTGGTGGTGCAGTGTGAGTGTGAACACTGGAATGTTTCTTACGGAAGCAAACTGATGGTTGGGATTGTAGAAAGCCCATTCCTGACAGGTATAAACATGTCCTCTGAGCCTTTTATACTGAGCAGAGCTCCAGCGGCCTCTCCCAGAGAATTATTCAGTGATGGCAAATACAGAGGCACATTTTGTGCTTAGTGCTGCTGAGAAGGCAGTTCTGTTCAGCTCTTCTAGAAGCACAGGTAAAGAAGCAGGCCAGCCTCCAGGTGGGAGGAAAATGGCTGCTTGCCAAATACAGACAGCTGAAGCTGGAGAGCTGAAAAGGGACTGCACTAGTTCCTCTCTTAGGATAGCTGCTTGGAGAGCTGTGTTGGTTTTTCTAAGGTCCGTGTGGAGCCTGTAAGTGAGTTTCCATCTCCAGTGCTTAGGATCTTGCTCAGAGGAACTCTGAGGTAGTATAATCCAGCATGAAGCTCCCCCATCCTGTGATGCCCCTTGCTGTTGTGACTGACAGTGCATTCGGGTCACAAATGTAGCCCCAGAAAGCTCTATTGTTCAACCCAATTTTTTCATGTGTGTATGTGTATGTATGTACCTTAAAATTAGAATCTGTGCTGTCCATACCACCAAGGCTACTGGGGGAATGGACTGGGGAGGTAGGGTTAAATTTTTTTCCTGGTTCAAGTGATGAAATGTTTTCCTTGTGTATGAAGTTCTATGATGTTCCTTCTCTACCAGCCTAACTGTGATATTGACCATGAAGCTTGTGTGGTCCAAGCCTACCTCTGTATGTGCAGAGGACAAAGTTGGCCTTCTGTCAGTTGGGTCCTCTAGGAAGAACGCCCCTTGCAGAAGATCTACTAAATTTTTGGGGAGAGCTGTTGGCATCATACTTTTTGTGTATCATGAAGGTGAGTCAGGAAAGGTCTGAAGATAAGTTAAAAATGATGAGCCTTTATTATTGAAAGAAGAATTTGTCTCCAATACTTTGAATTTCAAAAGAGATGCCCTTGCAGCTAAAAAAAGCTGGACGTTGTTCCCTGTCACTTGGGTCAAGTGGCGCATGATGTGCACGAGTTGTGTGGTGCCTGCTGTCAGCTTTCCCTGGAGTACCTGTGGTGCCCAGCGGCTGTAAAATGTAACATCGTTTTAGGTGTGAGCGTGTCCAAAATGCAAAGGGTTGTGTTGCAGCGCATCGAAGTGGTCTTTCCATGGTCTGGAGTCAAGTGTATGCGTTGAATGCCAAGTGTGCAGCATGAAAGGCCTGTAGGGATGTTTGATTGTAAGGTGCCTCTTACTATTTTTCATTGTTCTTTGGAGCTGTTTCTCTTAATTGTTGCCCTCTCTATTAAGAGGGAGAGAAAACTGAAACCTTTGTCTTGTTAAGGGCTAATTTTCAGACTCCTGAATGTATACATTATTTATATATCTATTCCTGTCCAAATAAACCTACTAAAATAATGAGTAGGTTTGGGTGGAATCCTGCAGGAACCCACCGGAAAGGAATTAATATAAGCTTAATTTTTAATTTATGTCTCGGTATGTGCCTTTCCGTTATTCTCCGTTGGAAACAATATCAAGCTCACAGGTTTGGGCAAGGAGGAGGTTCTTTCCAATAATCCCAAACTTTTTAAATATCAGTGTCAGTGGCTCTCCAGGACAAGCTGTTGTCATTCTTCAGAGTGAAGTATTTTAAACATAGTTACTGTTTAACGTCCTTCCTATCATGATCAGTGGGGAAGGGATCAAGAGTCTCTTCTTATCATGATAAGATATAAATACATAATCTATCTCCAAATATGAAACAAATGTTTATTGAGCACTTTTGTCTTTCTGCATCATTAACAATTTCACCAACATTGTTTAGGTAACTGACTTAAGCTGTTGCTAGGATTTAAAATGTGCTTCCTAATCTTTAAAAAGTCCTTTTTACTGTCTTTAATTCTGTTGACTGTAGACTTCACTGCCCTGCTGTATTTCAAAATTTACATCGTGTTGTAAATTTTTCATTTCTGATGTAAGAACTTAATTTAGTCCTCAGAATTTTCTATCTTAAGGGGGCTTTGCAATTAACTTACAGTGGGGAGAGTTGCTGTTGCCCATGTTTCAGCAAAACAGGCATTCTTCTTGTTTGTTTGTTTATTTTAAAATAACTAATGCTATACTGCAAGAAAAGGGGAAAAAAAATCAGGGGAGTAATTTTCTGCTATAAAAAAGTATTAGTAAATAAGACCTGTCTTATTTTCTAAGCATTTGAACTTTTTAAAGAAATCGTTAAAGATCTGGAAGAAGAGAAAGTGTTTGAGAAGAGAAGGTAGGAGGAGGAGTTTACTTAGTTGGTTAAAGTTCTAGCATATGATTTTAGCCCTTTTGTTTACTAGAAATTGTCTGCTTGGCTTAAGGGCAGAATGCGAACAGCATATTTTGCTGTAACTTTTTTTCTTTAATCCTCATTCCAGGTGTTACAAGTATATTTTATTGCATTGAGCTAATACTGATTTCATGAAAGTGTTTTAAACTGTTAGCATTTTCTCTAATACTAAGTTGTTACATACTCACAACTTATTGTTTTTTTTTTTGTTTGTTTGTTTGTTTGTTTTTTAGGTAAAATGCAGCTATTCAGGAAGATCCCAAAGGATACTATGGCATTACTGAAGACAGCGACAGACCCAGCTGTTTGTCAAGATTTTAAAGCTATCTTAAACTAACTCTTTAAGGCTTATTTTGTAATCTTTCCAGGTTTAAAAACAAATGCTAAGTTTTCAGATGATTGTTCTCCATAGTTTATTTTAGTAGGATGGACTTAAAGCAACTTTATCAAGGAAGTTTCCTGGATTTGTTTCTTGGATATCAAAGCATTGATTAAGCACAGTAGATGTTTCTGTTAATATCATCTTGTCTGTTTACCAGCAACTTCACTACCTGTTTATTTGAAGTAAATAACTTTGTTTCATTCAGCAATTCCCATAGTCTTGATGAAGACTCTGCAACGAGATCAGCATTTATGCTCCAGTGTATTGTTTCTGCAGAACTGTTCTCTACATTGCATACTTCTTTATAACAAATTGTTTGGTTAGGTTCAGTAATGTGTGTTTGACTCAATATCTTTATTTTATAATAATTTGCAACATACCTTCTAGGTGGGCTCTGTCCAGAAGGACACTTACCTGCACAGAGCAAATGCATTTTGTGGCTGTCCAGCAAGATGTTCATGTTAGAGATTATATGCCTTGGAGAACACAACAAAGTCAGTCAGTCCAACTGAATAAAATCAGAGTATGTCCCAAGTATGTTTAACATTTTGAGCACTTGCTGATATTCTTAATAAAAAGTGTTACACAGAATGATGGTACACCATTTATACCCCCAAAACCAAGGGGAATCAGAGTTGTTTGTTAGATAAGATCCTGAGTAGATTACTCTTCTGTTTGCATTTCCTCTTTGAGGCTTATCTTTGGCCTCCTAATGTTACTGAAGTCCTGTCCCGCTGTTGGCATTGCTGCGGAGGGCTGAATTTTGTCTGACTGCTCTGATAAGCCTACACATGTGGCTTTCTTCTCCAGACTTGCATGCTGAATTAACACAATTCTGATGAAGAGACAATTTAATTTTGAAACTTCTATCTCTATTAGAGAATAAATAGCAGCTGCTGGGAGGTTTTCTCAAAGCAGACAGAAGACACCTTATTGGAGTGAAACACAACATAGGCAGTGTTACCCATCGAGAATTTGGTTGGTGGGTAGGACAAGCCCATTTATACTGTGTAGTACAATATCTAGTGGTATAGACGATTGCTGCGTCTCAGTTGAGAGGGAGATTTTGTAGAAATACATTAAATGTAACCCTTGCAATTGTCTGAATGCATCTTTTTGTCTTTTTTTTTTTTTTTTTTTCCTCCACATCTACTGGATTACAGGTTGGTTTTAAATAAAAATTGATGTTTCTGAAGGTAACAACTTCAGGAGGTAACCAAGTCCAACTACACTTCCAAAATCAAAGCTGCTATTTAAGTTTAAAACATCTTGCATTTAAGAAGGCAAGTGAAAATAACGCCCGAACTGGTATGTGCTTAGCAGCTGGAAAAATTGAAAACTAAGAAAAGCTGATGGTCTCTACAGCCAGCTAATGTATAATTATTCTTGTTGGTATAGCTTAGGATAGTTGGGGAAAAAATGCTGTGACCATGTATGTAAGGAATAGATTAAGATGCAGTGATAGCAAAGATATAATGGTCTCAAGTGAATACACTGTACTGTAGCAAAGGTAGAAATACTCAATAGTGGTTACTTCCTTGAAAACTATTCTTAAAAAAAAAAAGCAATGCATTATGGTTGCAAAATATTTTCTAGTGCACTGTAGCAAGGTGGGATGTTAAACAGCAACTGTTGACATGAAACCCTTAGCTGGATTCAATAGCTTGAATCTGGAAATGCTGAAAAACTTACTTAGGGGCGTTCTGACCCTTTCCTTGGGGCTTCCAACAATCGTTGGAAAGCTGGGAACGTTGCCAAAGTCTTGGGGTTCTAAGGTTGCCTCAATTTTTAGGAAAAGGTAAGTAGATTGATCGATCCGAGCTAGGCTACTCAATATAGCTGTGCTGTTTAACCTGTGTTCTGGGTCAACCTGCCATAAATATTGGCAAGGAAAAGTGCTAGGACTGGTATTTTATTTCATTTTCTTTGCAGAAGGGAGAAGTTTGGCAGTAGTTCCGCTAGAGGAAACACTAACATCCACATGCTTACAACAAGCCCAAAATTTGCTTCCTTTTGGGAGAGGACAGTGGGTGAGATAGGTGTCAAATTCCACCATGTAGTGAACTATATGGGTTCCAGAAGGAGTATGTTCTTCGTTTTTTTTTTTTTTTTTTTTTTTTTTTTTTTTTTTTTCCTATTTTTTTGTTTGTTTTTGAATAATCTGGTTGCTGTCTTATTTGCACTGTGCTTTCTAAAGCTTTTTTTTTTTTTTTTTAAATGTGTGTCTTAGGGCTATGGATTCTGTTTGAGGCTGAATACTATATGTCCCCTGTAGATTTACCCCAAAAGAATCAATTGTGTGCTTACAGCCTGGAGAAAACAGTTCTGAAAATACTATTCTGCCAGGACTGTATGAGTTCATGGTAGAGTATTATGACAAAGAATATTTGGTGTCATCTGTAGATGTAAGGCTAGGAGGATAGTGAGCAGAGATACTGCTTAAAATGTAAGACTGTGGCACAGATTCATGCTTGTAGGCACACACTCAAGTAGGGAAGTCTGTCTTGCTGTTTAAAAGAGAAACACCTGTCAGGCACTGTGCTTCATATAAATAGACAGTAAAGTTTTTATAGGCTTAATTTTACTGAAATAAGGCTACAGCTCGGGCACAGGAATTTTAGTGGAGGTACCACCAGAAGTGCACTGAGAATAAAAAAGCAGTGTTCCTGGAAAAGTTACTTGCTGCGTTTTTTGTGTGCCTCCTTTGAATAAACAGTAACTTTACACACTGCATTTCCCTACTGTCAGTTGAAGTTAGGGAAGCTGAAGAATGTCGTCTTCCCTCTGCCTCGTCCCAGGCTGAACTGTGTCCAGTGATCCATGGAGTCGCCTGTGTGGTGAACAGAAAGGAACAGCTCAAAAGTCACAAAGTTCAAAATTCACAGGGCCTGTGAGTGTCACGACAGTGATACCTATCAGGAGTGATCCTGGATCTCAGGATAGATTTATGGACTCTGAAAGTCTCGTATAGGTATTTTAATTTCCTTTTCAACACACCTACGTTAGTTGGGTATGTTTTTCTTTAGAGACAGATCTCTAATCAAATATTTAAACCTGCTAAACCACTTTGTATATATGACTTATCTATCTATGATCATAGAGACAAATGTAGTGTGTGTCTGTTTATCTCTGTGCCAAGTTGATTGAAAATTCTTATTTTCATAGTTACAGCTACTTTTGAATACAAGCTCAAAATTGCTGCTTTATTGATTCTGTTGTAATTATTTATTCTTTATGGAAACCTTTTTAACTCCTCACCATGACCTTTCAGATTTAGGTTGTGACAGGTAGTTCTCTACTGTATGCCTAATTTTCTCATTTGCTACTTGCTTATGTTCCTAAATTCACTTGTAGGAATTAACCCTTTTAAAACAGACAGCATTTTTCAGAAGTATTTTTAAAATAACTCCTCCTGCATTTATGCTTGTATTTTAGTACTATAACAAAAGCTAGAACTTCAACAGCCAAAGGCAGTAAAACTGTTGTTGATACAACCAGGGAACTGAATAATAGGGAGATCTAATTTCTTTTATTAGAGTGGACAGCCCAGTTCAGGGGGCAAGAAAGAGTCTGTGCTGTGCCCACAAAGGTTGTCTCTTCTCTACTGTTTTATTAGAGCAAGTCATTATTTCCTGTTTCTGCACATCTTTCTCACTAAAGAGAGTCTGTTCTTGCAGTATAGCACTTTTTTTTTTTTTTTTTGGTGGTAACTGAAATGAGTGAGTGGGCTGGAGTTTGTCATCAAGCTCCTGGCATGTTCAGTGTCAGGTGGTGTTTTTCTTACCCAGAGACACTCTGCTCGCGGTCATTTAATGTTATGTTGAAGAAAAAGCTCTCGCCCAAAACTTCAGTCACACAGGGCTTCCTAACCTGTGAGGTCACAGGACATTGATTCCTACATTTTGTTTCCACAACAATAAATTCTGGCAAGGCAATAATGAAGTAGCTGGACTCTAGCTTTGGTGCCGGTGGTCCTGTAATGATGACCCGATGCCTTGCTTTAAAATCTGTAACAACTTGTGGATGGATTACCTGTGCTAAGATACTCTTGCAAATCTGATTGTTCACGTTTACATAAAATATGTTCTTTTAAATGTTAATGCTTTATTTTGCTCTTTGCAATATGTGAGAATATAGAATAACAATCAAGTAAGGTTTAACTGCATAAAGTGATTTAAAAGTGATTAAAAAGATGAGGCCTTACTCTTCAAGAGCTTCCATTCTTAATCTGTGAGGTGGTCACTGGATGAAACTGTGCTTGTATTTTTAGGTGATACTTCAGAATCATTTTTCTTTTTTTATTTAGAGGAGAAGTAAAGTAAGAGAGGGAGGGGGCATTAGCAGGCGTTCCAATTTTAAAGTGCGTCTGGAAATTAATTCTTATTTTTACTTATATATAGATATAACATGTATTTATATTTTTGGATGAGAAAAATTGCTGTTAGCTCCCTGACATGAAAACGCTTCTGATGGCACAGAACTTGGATCCTTGCTTCCAAGCATTCGCTTGATCAGATGGAAGAGTGCTACCAGAGGGACAAATATACAGGGAAGGACAGCTAAGAGCACACAGATGGCCAGTACCCAAGATGGATAGATCTTCTCTTCTTTCATAGGGAAGTCTTCCTGTGGAGATAAACAAGTAAAATAAATACTTCAGGTGAAATTACTTTTGCTATGATTATCATATACATTTTCATATGTTGCTGTAAAGATAAGAGAAGTTTTATTCTTGCTAGTGTTGAGTATCAGTGGCCTCTGGATAACTTTGTCATGAGTCTAAACATGACTGTAAATGTTTTATAGTCTCAAAGATTGATAGTTGTAAGAGTGAGATACAACTAGCAACATTAGAAGTGTGCAAAGATCTATGAAGCTTTCAACCTTCATGGTTAAACTCATTTTTTTTTGCAAGTAGTCAAAGCTTACCTGGTTCCAGCAAGTAGTGAAACTGC